ACAGGCACAGTGAATAAATTTTTATTAATTTGTAAATTACAATGTTATTTTTATAAATTTATTTATTAATATAGGTATCTCTTGGTATTAAGAAAGGGAAATGAAGCCAACTGTATTTAAAGGCTTCAAGGCAAGACTGATTTATTAATATTCCTGCTATAGCCACCATTTGATTCCAAGGCAGTTATTCAAGAATACAGCATGGCTTAAAAGAGTGGTGCTTTAATTAGTTGTTTTTGTGCTTTTCCCTTTGTTTCATATGGTTCTTAATGGTGTTTTGGTAACTGGTAGTAATTGAAGACAAATGGAAAAACTTCGTGATGCAAAACAATACGACAGAAGACGTGTAAGGGAAAAGAGATGGGTGTCTCCTTAAGGCAGCCATTTATTAAAAATCATAACAGAAAAGTATCTTCTCTTTTAAATAATTTATTTTTGCTTGATAAATTAGTTCCAGATTGTATGCAGGACAGTAAAAGACATGTTAAGGTGGTTAACAAGAGTGGGAACGAACATGGAGAGCTATGAGGATAAGTGGAAGAGCTGGGACTGCAGAATTCATATTTAGCACAGTTGTGTGAATGTTTGTGGCACTGAGAGTAAATCACCAGTGCTTTGGTAATGCCAGACAGATACATCACTGGGAAACCTCATAAAGGAGCTGTTTTTGGGGTGCTGAGTGCAGCATCCCAGCTGTGCTGGATGATCCAAGTGGATCCAAGAGGAGCAGCACATGTGCCAGTCTCGTGCTCAGAGATGAGTTCAAGTGCTGATACCCCTCAGTTCAGAGGATTCCATGTCAGTGCAGGATGTGCTGGCATCTGGCTTCCAGTCCAGCTTCCTTGCATCCTGTTCCATCTTTAAATTCAGGAGCAGAGGTGTGCACCTTTCAGCCTGACTGCAGCCCATGAGGCAATACCAGGTTCATACAGCCCAGAGCATCCCAGCCCTGCAAACCCTGCTCAGGAGATTGTGGGGCACTAAACATCACACTTGAGTTAATGCTGAAACCTCCTCCTGCATCAAAACTGACAGATCCCAAACTAAAGCTACAGGCTTGGCTTCTGTCCTTCTGAGCTTGGCTGGACAGAAAGAGGCAACATTCAGATAAACCTGAGTTCAGCACCTTCCCTGGCCTGGCTGCCAGATTTGTGGTGCTTACATAAATGTGGAGATAAATCCATGCAGTTCATTGCTGCTATTTTGATTTCAGCCAGGTGCAGTGGGTGTGAGACTGGGACCAAGTACTCCTGAACTGGGCTGTCCATGCTTTTGGGGGAGCAAGTGTCAGACAGCAAAGGGAGAAAGGGATCAGACCACAGAGATCTTCATGGCAGGTTGGAGGGAGATGATTCTGGAGGTGAAGGGGAGACACTCAATCTTCCAGGTACCCTGAGCATCAACTCAGGAGAGGACTTGACCTGGAAAAACAAGGTGGACAAAGGGAGGACAGACCTCAGCCCAGTCTGGCTGCAGCTCCTCCATGTAGCTCTGGTGGTGTTTTAGGGATGAAGAGGGAGATGAAGGCTGTGCTGAGCAGGGAGGATTCCTGGTGTCTCAGTTCTGTTATCTCACTGCAGCGCCAGTGGTATTATCAAGACAAATAGGATGCCAAAACTTAAAAGTGAACATATGTTTATGGGGGTGGTGGGGAATACAGAGGTCACTGTTGTTTCTTTCTGCTCAGAGAAGACATAATGGGGCCTGGTTTAGATAAATTAAGATTTGGAGCTAAGCTCGTGTCAAGACAACGCGAGTGTAATTATAAGTTGACTTCTTTCAGGGTCCCTGAAGTTTTTAGAGTCAAATAAAAATGTTCAGCAAGAGTTTTATAATGTAGTTCAACAGTTTTAATGTGAGCTGATTGCAGCTCAGCCTTGCTGGCTCCTGAAACAATTTTACTTTGATTTGAAAAATTTTCAGTGAACTTCCAAATATTTCCATGTCATTTCAGTGCTCTGTTTCCTCTCTCTCTGGACTTCATTTATATTTTGTGATTTTTGATGTCTTTTTCCTCCTATATTTCCTTATTTCCTTATGCACTTGGGTGTTGGCATGCCTAATTATTTTTTTATTCCAGTTAAAGTTGTCACAGTGCTTTTTCTAAATTTTATTTTAAGATATAAAATAGTTGCAGTGCTCATTTTTAGTAGAACTTTAAACCAGACAGGTTGATTTATTTTTTTTAACAACTAAAACATAAAACCATATTTCTGCCTAGTGGGATTGTTTGGAATTCTGGTTTTGAATTTGAGGGTGAAAAAAGGTGTAAAATACCTGTGATTTACAAACTGCTTCCTTTGGAAAGTCTCTGATCTCCTTGCAAGATGTTGTTTCAAATCTGGTTTATATTTCCATCACTCTATAACTGGTAAGAAGCTAATAAACCATACCTTCTATAATACTTAGAGAGAATAAAAGTACAAATGCTCTTTATTAAAATGTGGAAAAACTGTAATAGGAAAACAAATCCATCCTGTTATTTCCCAGAAATGGAAGCATTTTAAGTGCTTTGCTTTTCATAAAAGGGGCAAATGAATTTTTCAAAATACAGTACAGAATCAGTGCTGTAATGCTAATTGTATTTAATAATAGTAATTTAAATTTGGCTGCTCTCTGCCTAGCAGCAGCAAGAGAAAATTGTATGTGGGAAACGTTGAAGTCCAGAAGTGTAACATATGGTGTGCTTTGGCCTTCAGAGAGTCTCTGTGCACCCATGAAACAGCTCAACTGCACAAGTGTCCCTGGTGGTGCCCCCTCCTTCTCACCCCATCCCCGAGCGGTGCCTGACACTCCCCAGCATGGATTTGCACATCCCAGGGCCTCCCTGCCTTTGGCACTTCGTTCCACAGGCTCGTTGCAGCTTCTCCTCGTGTGAAAATGTTCTCTCCGAGTTGCTTCTGTTCCCCTTCCCTAATGAGCATCAGTCCATCTGGGATTGCTCAAATGCAGATTATTAAGTGGGTTATTCACAACCATCAATCCCTCGCTCTGTAGCAGGTCGGATGCCCTGGGAGATTCCAGTGCCTTTCTGTGGTCTTTCTTGATAAACTCTGAAAGAGCAGCATGGCCAGCTCTTCTTGAGAATTTATATCTGCTCTCCACATCCTCCATCACTCCAACATCTGATGCTCATTTATCACTTTTCCAATACCCTTTGATAAGCTCTAAATAGGTCAGGTGTCAGTTACACCACACCTCCACCCGTCTCCATAAATTAATGCAGATCCTGGGGGGATGTAAGTGGAATAGGAATTTGGTTTATTTCTTTAAGTACAGCCTTGCATTGTGTTGCCAGAACTCATCTCTTCCCAGCCTCTCCCGTATCTCCCAAGATTTCCTCGCTGCTGCTGCCAAACGCTGCCGCTGCCGTGTCCTTATTTCCCTCCATGACCCCTCCTCCCCTCCAGGCCTTTTCTTGGCTTATACCTTGTGCATTGTGCTTCTGTGTGATTTCTACGATTGTCCTTTGGTTCTGTGGCCTTAATCCTGCCCGTGGTGATCCCGACAAGTCCCTTCCCAGCCGTGAGCTGATCCGCACCATCCGCGCGCTGTCCCGCGCTGCGCTCCCACTCCCTGCTTTATTTAATCGTCCCCTTTCCCTTCCCAAATCTTTCCCTTCTCCTCACAGAGGCGTTTCAGGACAAAGCAAACACAAGTGGCACCAGGGCTGACCCCACAGCACCCTCCTGCTTTATCTCCCCTCCTCTTCCTCTCCCAGGCACGCGGCGCTTCCCAAGCCCGAGCGCTGGCAAAGGCCTGGCTTGGTCACACGCTTCCCAGTGCTGCAAATCCCCCTCCTGCAGAATAAAATATCAGATACTTTCCTGAAATACAGATACAGTAAACTCTGGCCATTGTTTCTGCCTTATCTATGAATCAATAATGTAGAGAAAGAATTCAAGGACGTTTTTCAGACAGGGCCTTCCTTTTTTTAGGCTGCGGTGACGTCCGCACCTTTAAATGGTTCCATAATATTCACTGCCTTTCAAATACACAGAAGAATTGATATCAGGCCTTTGTATCCGCAGTTCTTCAGATCCTTCCTTGCCTTTTATTAAAATATGGGAACGATAATCTCCATGCCTTTGGTTTCCTGATTTGGGTAAGCTGCCACAGAGCTGTGTCAGGCTTTCCTGTTTCCCTTTCTGTCCCTCTGCTTTGGAGTATTAATTCACTGGATCTGATCCTGAGTCACTTTGGTTGTTTATTGTCAATATGAAGCAATAGAAAATCCTCTGCTTTCTACTACAATAGGAAAATACATGTTTACAGAGAAAAGTTGCTGTGGAATAGGTATTTTATTCTAGGAGCTGTTAAGCTGCCTTTCCTTGTACAATGGAGTTTTAGATGAAAATACAGATGTAGGGGGAAAATAATAAAATTATAAAAATAGATTCTTAGATGAGTATTGTGTGTGTTACAGAACACAAGGAGAAGCTGGTCAGAGGAGCTCAGGAGTGCAGACTGTGCCTGAGCTGTATTAGAAAACTTCTTTGCATGTAGAAGATTCACAGTTATTTAGGGTTAAGTATCACAGGGTGCTCAACAAGTTCCTTTTTCCATCTCCTCATGGGCTTATTGGAAATAATAGAAAAATCTATTTACCACAATAAAGGCAGAGTGGGACATCAGAAGTGGCCACAGTTCTGTTTGCTGTGCTAGATCTCAAGAAGTGGTAAAGGAAAACAGTTGTTGAGGAGAGAATCTGCCTGGCAAGTACCAGGCTTTTTATAAAGATTTAAAGTAAAGAATCACAACAGGCAGGAGCAGTCATGAAAATATTGATGCTTGTTATTGGGCTGAAAAATGGACTTTATGTTCAGTACAAATGTAGCAGGAACAGACTGCTTCTATAGGAGATGTACACAGGAGACATGGGTTCACTTTTTATGTATTTACTAGTTTTACATGAAATTATTAATTTATTTTTATAGGTCTGAGTGTGAGAGTTGTATTGGAACAAGTCTTAAAGCTTCTTTTCTCATCTCCCCTTTTAGATTGATGCATTGGGTAAACGAAGCAAAGAAGCAGAGGCAGCCTTCTTGAATGTTTATAAGAGATTAATTGATGTTCCAGGTAAGCTAATTATTCCCTTATTCTGAGAAACTAATGGTTCATGTTTGTGTGAATGCTACTGGGCATTTTTCCTACCTTTAATAAGGTAAATACAAGCAATGGCTTTGTTCTGGAACTGACAGACTCCTGTATTGTTTCTAATGGGGAGAACTGTAACTGTGGCACATTTCAGGACTTCTCATTGCATCTACATGTCAATGTTTCTATTAATCAATTTATATTACGATACTCTGTGATCCCTCACTATTTTGTTCGTCAGAGGGTTCAGACAATTTTAAGAAAAAAAAGCATCTCGAAGCTTCACCAAGAAGAAGCAATATTTGTACTTTGAAAGGATAGAGAAAACTTTTCATTCCTTCCAAGAAAAACAAAAGAAAAAGTCTTACTGAAAAGTAAATCACTACCAAATTTCAGTTCTCTGCAGTGTAAGTGTGATCATAAATTTTATTCAGAGGCCTTTATTGTATGTGTTTTCAACTTCCCTTTTGTTTGGCAAACGAACTTTCTTTGTTTGGCATTTGGTTTCAGTTCATTTCTTTTTACATTTTGAGAGTTGATTTTTTTTTTTGTTTCCCCAGTGGTAAATAAATAACTGCCTGAGCAGATTTTTCTTTTTGCAGCTGTACCCACAGCTGAGAGGGGGTGAGGAGCTCAAGTGTCCACTGCCACATCTTGGCCTGACTGAGCTGTTGGCACATGACTCTCTGTGTCATTTTATAGTTTTATAAAACATTAACATTGTATATATATAATATTCAAAATACCTCAAGAGGGATTTTGAGGTGTAATTAATACTTTTAAATACTTCTAAGGCTTCACAGCACCCTGGCCTTTACTGGTTTCACTGTTTAAGGAGGGCATTTCATGCATGCCTCAAATGAAAATTAAATTTTTAATGTTTTAGTTTAATGATTAACTGGTTGAAAGGTCAGTGTTTTCAGATGCTCAGTGTGAGCTAATAAATGTGGTTTTTTATGCTGTCCCATTCATAATTGAGCAGTGCCCAGTGTAGGGATGCAGGGACTCACCACGCTCTTCTTGGGCCACAACTGCCTTGGAAATGTTGTTTTTAGGTTAGTCAGCTGTGGTCTGTGAGTTTTCCTTCACTTATTTCCAGCTCAGACTCTCAGTAACATTCTGCTGAGCACAGAAAGTTCCCTTTGCCTACCTCATACCATGGGAGGAGTGGATAACTCAGAGAGGGTCCCATCCATCACGGGCAGTGTGGGCCTGGGATGGGCACCCAGAGCTCTGGCTTGGAAAGAAACACCTCCATGGAAACATTCCCAAATATCTGCAGGCTGGGAGTCCAGCATGAGCTCTGGGGAGAGGCACTGCAGCCCCTGCATCTCCACACTAACGCTCGCTGCAGCTTCCTGCCATAATTTGGTAGGAAGCTGAGTAGGTTTGAGTTGGAACAGTCTGGCTTTTTTCAGGACTGAGAAGTGGTGTCAAACAAGAGCTGTGTGGGATCCTTGGTGTGCTCTTGTGCAGAGGCTTCTTGCTGAAGCCTGGCACATCACAGGTGCTGGGATCTGCGCTGCAGATCAGACCGAGCCTTGAGGAGAAGGTAGGATTTATATCCCACCCACCAGGATTTAGATGAAATGGTGAGGGACTTTGTCAGGATTTCTTGGTAGGAGAAAGAATTTTCTCTTTTCTTTCATTTGCAAAATTTACAGCCCTGCTCCCACACCCCACAGCGTCTGTCCTGCCCCGCCGTCCCCTGCGCGTGCCTTACGTCACCTGTCACAGAAATATTTCTTTGATATTCCTAATATACATAAAATCTTCAGCCTGGCTGAATTGGGAGTGCAGTGGAGTCTGTGGGGGTGAGAAATATCTCCAGGTTTTATGCCCATGCTCTTACCTGGAGGTCTGAGGTAGAAGTAAATTCCAGGTTTTTCAGGAGAAGTCCAGTCAGCCTCCTGTAGCTGCGTGCACGTAACAAATACTCACAGTTTACAACACGCTGCAAGGAGAAGGAGAGCAGCCATTAGGAATGTATGGCACTGCTCTTTGTCACTCTGCTTCATTGTGTTGCTCTTTTTTTTTTATTCCTTCTCATCCTGTGTAGTCTGCTAGGTTGGGCAGTATCCATGGAGGGCTGGGCAGTATCCATGGAGGGTTGGGTGGGTATCCATGGAGAGCTCTCCTTTATAAACAGCCATCACTACTCATTTATCACATGTGCTGCTTTGCCTCCGTGTGGCTTTACATATCTTTTGACCTGTTCATTTGGTATTTCAAATATTTAGGTACACTTTTAGCTCCCCAATGCTGCTGTGTTTTCTTTTTGGTGTGAGAAGGGAGGATGATGTTTGGGGGAAGCTATGCCTGGAATGCTGCAGAGTGGTTATTTAGCATTAAGCATCGCTGTTACATGACAAGGGTGCAATTTTATCAGACTTTCAATATCCTTTATAGGACTATATAATAATTGCAGCTGAAGTCTAATTCCCAGCAGCCAATTTTATGGTTCTTGAGGAAAGTGTGTATTTCTCTCCTCAGTAATAATGTGCACACTTTATATAATTAAAAAGGGCTTCTATTTTAATTTTACTATAAAATGATCTGTATTGAAACTCCAGCTACAGTGCTTTATGGATTCAGCAAAGTTTAATAATTTTCTTTCCTGACCGGACCAGAGTTTTCACTCAGGCTCACCAGTAAGGAATTTGTGGGAAGGGTGGTATCTTACTTGTAAATTTTCCTATGTACATCAGGGGGTTTCTCTTTAAAAGATAAAACAGACCTTTTATATATCTCTCTCCAGCTTTATGATGCTGTTAAAATAGCATTATCATTGCTTTGTGCTGTGAAATTTATCCTTCTTAAAGGAAAGCACATGTCAAGGAAAACATTTTGGTTTATGTACATTTATACAGCTCAGATCATTCTGTCTTGCTCGAGACTGAACATTTTTAATTAATGGAATTAATTTTCTCATTTAATTGCCTTATTTTCAGTATGCAGTACAGAGCAAGGGAAAAGCGAATCCTGCCACATGAATTGCACTAATCAACAAGGTTGTCACAACTTACCTTTAAAAATAATGTGAATATATTTATTTTGAAGTAAAGGGAGGTTGGGTCTGTGTTTTGAGGAAACCTTCTTCCATCTGTTCAGGATTCCTTTGTCTCCAGTTTTATAAAATAAATGTATTATGTTAACACCCTTGGCTTTTAGGGTCTTAATCTTGCAAGCACTTAAAGTGAAATTGGAGCCTTGTTGTGTGTTTGGAGGAGCGGTGTTGCCTTGCAGAAACAGTATATTCAAAATTAATTTATTTTTTTTTTTCCTCCTAAATCTTTAAAGGAAAAATAGTAAGCATTAAAAACACTAAATATTTTTATTTCAAAAAGGAACTGTGATCACTACTTTATTTTTACAAAACTTGGGTGTAATTTTCAAGTAAAAGTTCAAACTGGAGACCAAGGGAATGCCAGGTGTCAGTGTCTGGATAAATTGGTTAATAGAGTGTTCTTTCTGCAAGGGATCACTGCAGTTACAGCCCAGTGCCACGCTGCATTTGCTCAGTATTTTGTCTCAGTATTGCTCCTGTGTAGGCAAAGAAACAATTCTGCCTTTAAACACAAATCTGCTCTCTGGATGTGGCACAATTAAACCCAGTTGGGTTCAGTCTGGAGAACAGGAAAACACAGAGTTTTTTCAGCATATGGACATTTGAGAGTGAGGGAAGGTTAATGCAAACTGGTTGTTCTTGGTTTGGAGGGGCTGTGCTGCCTTCCAGGGCTCAGCCAGAAATGGGTTTCGTTTCTCCTTAATGGGAATGAGAAAATTGGTCAGGAAACCAAACGACTCAGGGGGTGAAAAAGGGGATGTGTGTGTGGTTTTATTGGAGACTCTTCCCAGGTCTGTGTGTGATCAGATTGGGTGCTAAATAATGTGTGTGCTGTGGGTTTAGCTCAGAGGACCTGCTATCGAAGGGAAGTATAACAAAAAAAGAGAAAGTAAAAATAAGATTTTTTTTTTTTTAATGTGCCCTGTCAAAACAATCAAAAGCAATAACAGTGAAAGATGGCTGAAGTGGAAATTTTATCTTTCCCTTGCTCCTTGCCATCATAAATTGCACACCCAGCCGTAGGGGCTGTGTCTCACAAAGGAGGAGCAGGCTCCTTCCAAAGGAGTTTTCCACACATCTCTCACTACTTGTTGTATTTTAGTCCACACACAGCCCCAGTTCAGCCTTGCAAATTCCAACTGCCCTGCATAGGGCGTTCTTTTTCCAGGGAATGCTTTACCTGAGAAAGCACAAAGTTCTTTTTGAATAAATGATCAGAAAAGCACTAAAAAAGTGCAAGGGAATTACTTCTAAAGGCAGAAAAGAAATTTATTTGCAGTGCTTGCAAATAATCAGACATTTATCAGCCTTTGCCTTTTGATTATTTATAACTACAACCCTCTTCAGACTTGTTCTGCTGTTTGGGCTGTGAGAAAATTTCATTTAAAGCCTATTTGATCAATGTCCTGAGGTTAAAGGTGATGCGAGAGAAAAGCAGGTTTGATTTTGGATTTCATTGGGGTTTTTTTCCCCCCCAGAAAAATTATCTGCTGCTTATGTTGGAGGTGATAAATGTGTATGAAGTTGTTGTGTTTATGTACATCCTGTGACATGTTTGGATTTTTTGGGAAAGCGTAATGTTAAGCAGAAAGGTTAATGGTAAGAAAGTCTGTGTAATAAAAAATTTTTACAGACCCAGATGACTCATGATGTGCTAAAATTTCAACCTGGATACCCACTGCCTTTTCTGCCTGTAGGGAGAGCTGGGTGAATGTAAATTTAGGGGATAATTAAGAGAGGCGAGGGAAAAGAGATTCACTCGGTGGGACTGTTTAAGCACATCCCAAAGTGGAATACAAAAAAGAGTTTGAAAAAGTTAATACTTAGAGTACTCTTGTCTGAGATAATGGTTAATTGGTTGGCAAAACTGTCTGAAGAGCAAGATCAGGTCATAGTAAACCCTGAGTTTGTGGTA